CTGCATAGAGGTGAGAGGGGAGCTCTGATTGGCTTGCAGACTTCGTAAACATTTTCTTACCGTCTATTAGATTCATTATCTGCACCAGCACGTTCACAATCAAGTTCTTTAGTGTTGTCAATAATGCATTAATTGCATAATTTACAGTGCTTCTTACAAAGCCATGTGAAAACAACATCACGACTTCTCAATCACATGTAATGCGTTTTTCCTGTCCATACAGGACAGGGTACATCCTGGGTGGGACGCCAGAGATATAGGGATTCACACTCACACCAGGGCCATGTCATTGGACACACAAACTCCACAAAGACAACACCCCAGGCCCGGAATCGAACCCAGGGCCCCTTCACTGCGACGCGCCCCCGCGCCGCCGACCAAACACATCCTTCACATGAGAAACCGGTGACAGGTGGGGGAAAGCGTTCGAGTCGGACAGGTCAGGAGTACCCTGCCTGGGCACAGTGCAAACCCAGCTGGATCGTGGGAACACGAGTGGTAATCTTCTTTAGAAAGCATTTAAGAAGACGCGTCAAGCAGCCACAAATTCAGAACAAGAAAATCTGTCCTACATACGGCAATGTCACAGCTACCCAATGAAGAGCATAATCAAGCAACAAGAAGGGGTTCAGACTGAAATGTCCCAACAAGTACAAACCACTTCCAGTGTCACAGGAGCCCCACTACTGCATCTCAGCCAATCTGCAATAGGCAGCAAGCTCGGGATGCCCAGCCTCATGTGATGAGAACATTGTCTGCATTTTTTCTAACAAAAAGCTTTCCACAGCTTTAGGAAGGAGGGGACCCACTTCACCCTCCACTGAAGTGCAGCTGCACCTGGGTGACACACGACACCCGCTGTGCACTGGGGCTGCTATCACATCACGCAGCCACAACTCCTCAGAGAGCAGAGGCCCTGCAGCCCACAATACCAGCAGAACAAGAGCCTGACCTGGATTAACACCTCCGAGACACACCGCACGAAGACTTGTATGACTGCACTGGAATGACACACCCTAGCACAATTTAGTTGTTTTGTTCCTCGTACAGATAAACCATCTTGTACCTCCAAAATAGCAATTTCTTTGCCAAAAACTCTGGGTGTGAATGTGAGCTCTGGGTTAGTATAGAAGTGCTTTTGCACATACACACCCCTGTCTTTGCAGGGACTTCCCCACTGACTCACACTCTGTTTTGATTTGATTCGAAACATATATGCACAAGGTAAAAACTAAACCTAAAACGTTTTGGACTCTTTTATGTTTTAAAAGAAGATGCCATTTACCTGTCTGCAATAGTCTGTGTGGGGAAATTAGGTATTGACAGTAATACTACATCAAGCATATATATAGTTGTCCCTTTACAAACCCCTCTTGTAAAAAGCTACATACTGTAAACTTAGAATTTCAACACCTGCACAATACATTGTGCTAAATACAATCCATCCATCTTTATCCAATACAGGGTTGGGGAGTGGGAGGGGGGTAGGAGCTATCCCAGCAAGCAACAGGCACAAGGCAGGGTACACCCTGGACAGGACGCCTGTCCGTCACAGGGCCGACAGACACACACTCCCGCAAGGTGGCAATTAACCTACTAGCGTGTCTTCG